CATTAAAGGGCAACTCCGCTTCATTTTTGATATTTAGAAAACTATGTAGCCCTCTTCAGTATCATATAGGAAGACCCCACGTCAAATATTACGATCTAATTCCGTTTATTTATTTAATAAACTGGCCGGCAAACCTTCAAGCGAGCCAAGTCGCCGAAATCTGCCAACTCTAGCGTGCGGCGCCAGGCGCAATCATCAGCGCAGTCAATGCCACGGAGTTGGAGCGGCCAACGTTGAGCCACTACGTCAGAGGCATGTACGTCATTCTCACGTTTCGCTTGTTTTTATTTCTCAGAGCGAAATGCAACGATGACGTCATGAGTTTCTCCTCCCGGTGTTGGCTGACCGGGCGTTCACGTGATCACCGTAACACGGATGCGCTACTTTGCGCTGCCCTGCGCGCTTATCGGTCTGTTTCTCCGCTCCACTTCTCTTTCGTCTTTTCCCTTCCCCCTCTCACCCAGGCCATCACCGTCCACGCCACGCGAAGCGACCTTCCCGCGTCCAATAAAAAAAAAAAAAAAAAAAAAAAAAAAACTGCCCGCGTCGCGTGTCCTGTTTCTCGCTCCCTCCCGAACGTCACAAGACCACGTGGTTCGACGTGACGCGCATGCCTTTGACGACCCGAGACCGATGTTGCCTGACGCAACCGAAGTTTCGGTTTCGGTATCTGCTGACGTTTAAATTAGGATTACACAAATAATATTCCACATTTCGCGAATCCGAAGACGTAGAGTTGTTTAGTAGTGCTTTGTGAATGTGAATCACATGGAAGCCTAAATTTTTCGGAATTGAGCGGAGTTGCCCTTTAAGCTTTACATTTTTTGCCCTCGGCATTTCGCTGTCTGCCACTATGCAACAGTTCCTTTCTTCGCCCGAGAAACCCAACGAAATTTCCTTAGTGGGGCATGATCGAATAGGCCCGTTGTATAGTTGCCGAACATTAAAGAAACGTTGGGCGTGGCTTCCTATAATCACGCTTCGGGAATGGCTCTTCGGCATCCTTCTCGGTTAATGCCGCTATCTGATGGGCTGCTGACCGATAATGATATGCACGGGACTCAAGCATCTTATTCTAAAATTTTCCCCAAGATAGAAAACAGGGGAAAATTGATAAACACAAAGCCGCTAACCTTCTTTTTCAGTGTCGCTGCCATCTGCGGCTTCGGTAGTATATGCACCAACATCCCCATTGCAACTTTTTTTTTTTTCTCACAGATTTGCATATTTCGTTTTATTGTATAAAATTATCGTACGCCTCTCGGATGCAAGGTAATTTAGTTTGAACAGTCGAGTATTCGAAGCGTGCGACAAGACAGTGGCACTCTGCGGTGCGGCTCGTATATAGCTAAAGAATTTCGCGTAGAGATCGTGTGATCAGTGGCGTACCAACTTGTTCTTGAGTGGGGGGGGGGGGGGCAAACCAAACCCGAACCGACCGCCCCCCCCCCCCCCCCCCCCCCCCCCCAGGGCCGGGGGGCGATGGTCGCCGCCGGCCAGTGTTTGTCCTGCCCGGTGACGGCTGTTTCAAGGGGGGCGAAACACATGCCTTACCCCCCCCCCAATCTGAGAACTGGGGGGGGGGGGGCAAGCGTTGCCCCCCCCCCGGTTGGTACGCCCATGCGTGTGATAACAATCGACCTTAGATTCTAATCACTATCACATCGACTAAGCGCACGAAACGTTCCAAGGCATATTTCGAGCTAACTTTCTATAGACACAAGACTCGGAAATTGAGAGCACAGTTACCCTCGGTGCGCTATCAAAAACAGCCGCGGCGGTCATCTCAGTCCCAGTACGTCTCTGCTTGATGGGCCAGGGATCGAAGAGCGAGCTGATAATGAGAGTGGCAGAAATTATTTCTCGCGCAGATTTGATCAATCACTGGCCCTGGTCAATGTCGTCACGGAGTGATTTCCAGACGGACAGAAACACGAGCGTTTCGTAGAGGAATAGTCTGTGCCAGATATGAGAAAACCACGACGGTGTGTGGCCTTCGTTGGTGCTCACAACTGCGGGGGACACGATCGAACCGGAGCTCCGAAAGACTGCAGCGGGTCGGAGGACGTGAGCAGAGACAGGGAGAAACGCTGGACACGTGATACGTTTTCTAATGTCATGGTGTCATGACGACATGAAGAAACACGGCGGAGGGAAGGCGCTGACCACGGGAGGATTTAGAGGGGGGGTCCAGATGTCCTGACCCCACTCTTGATTTCTGCACGTGTAAAATTTAGGGCCTGAAACGAGGGAAAGGGGGAGGGGGTTCCTAAACAAATGGTACGCTCACCAATAGAACGATTTTTAGCGTCCCCGTATAGACGCACTCTCAAGGAAGCGGGGAAAAATAACCGATACAAATATTAAGGCTCGAATCCACGCTGTGAAGGTGGTTTGACAGCGAAGGTGTGGTATCACCTGCAACGATTGCCCACTGCATTATAGACCCTTTTTATGGCAGACGCCACCAGGTTTTGCTCCAGTCTATGACGTCCCTGTGCCGTATATTGGGAGAGTTTGGCCAATAGGAGGAGCAGAGGCCGCCACCAGCGCCGAATATTCGCCCCGCGGTTAGAGCTTAAACTAAATATGTGGCAACGCGTCGACCAATCAGCAAACCGCGACGTCACAATATTGGAAACGACATTTTAAGCGTGAAATAGAAGCGTTCAATCTCGCAGCAGTACTGGCAGCACGACGACGACGACGTTTAGAGGATGCCACACCGGGCGTCGGCGGAGCCTTAGCCTAATCCCTGGGCCTCGCGGTACCTCGGATGTGGCAGCTTTCTGCTTTGACTGGGCTACCCCCTTGGAGCCTGATGCTTCGACCCCAGTGAGCGACAGCGGGCTCCTTTGTGCAACCGATCACCGATCGAACGGCTGGCTGCAGATCCCCTTGGCCCGCTGCTGACCCACCTCAACGAAATGTGGACATGTTCAAATTGGACCGACATCCTCCGCAATAGCAACAATCCATCTCGTTGTCATTTTGGATGTATGTACTCAGAGACTCATCGCATTATCATGTTCATTAAGCGCGGCACCGCGGGCCTTCATGGTATACGAGATGTTGCCTTTCCGCGGTGCCGCCGCGCTCCAGAGCCAAATAAATATATTATTATTATTATTATTATTAATATTATTATTATTATTATTATTATTAAAACAGTGCAAAGGGTGGGGCGCGCGAGCGTCCTGACACGCGGTTTGCTCGGCTCGGGTTGAGACGGTCCCGCACGGCTCATGCGCTGGCTTTGGCTGTGCTTTCCTTCCCCCAGTCTCAGCTGAGACGCTGTTTCGAGCAAGTCGGCTCTGGTTTGGAGCGCACGTTAGTTCATTCTTCCGTTGAATATGGGCGTGACGAAACCCTAACATGCGCCAAGTTTTCAGTCACTGAGAGTCATACCTTTTAACTCTAGCGACGCTAAAACGCTAAAACGGCTTAAATTAGTCGTGTCACATATTTAGTGCACACTATACCACCGCTAGAGGCTGTTTCGCGTCCTGTGGTTGGCCACGAGATGCTCGTTTATTCAAACCAATGTATGGCCAAACTCTCTCAGTAAACGGCTCTGTGACGTCCCAGAGAACTTCCGGTTTATAAAAAGAATGAACGAAGGTCACCTTAGCACCGCTGCTTGAAATGTAGATGAAACGGTTAAGCACCAATTCCCCAGGTGAACGCCAAAGGAACGAAGGAGTGCGATATCTGTTCAAATGTTTCGAGTATTCTTGTCAACCCACTTGCCTCCTCCAAGATATAATATTGTACAGCCGAAGGTTCTCGTTAAATCTTTGTAAACAGCAAAAGAGTCTATACCAAATGATTCACGAAAGAAAACTAAATGCACTGTACCAAACACTTTTTTTTTTTTTGTATATGAAAGACTTTGTAGACTACCGTTTCCGCGGCACCTATACAACCGCAATCTTTACCGCGAAACGCATGCGGGGAGCACTGCGTGCTCCGCATTGTTAGCTGGGCTGCTGACGTCACTCCACACTTCGTACTCTGCCGTTACCGCGGCAGCGTATGCAATCGCAATCTTTAGCGAGAAACGCATGCAAGGAGCGATGCGTGCTTATCATCTATCACGAGGTTTTGACACTTGTTTTTTGGTTTTCTTATTGAAGCAAGTGTCAAAACCTCGTGATAAGAGATAAGGCGCGCGCTATCGTTTTCTGTCGACCATTATGTCGACTACTGTTCTGTCGACGGACACCAAAAAGGACACCAAGGGTTGTGGTGACGTCAGAAAGACACCAAGCTCTGATTGGCTCTAAATGAAGGATAGTGGGTAGACCTGAAGGCAGCTTACTCTGAGGTCTACCCACTATCCCTCAATCGGAGCCAATCGGACCTCGGCGTCTTTCTGACGTCATCACAACCCTTGCAAAGGAAGTAGACGACTTGCTCCCCGCATAATTACCATGACTCAAAAGCAGTAGTAAAGTGGTAAGCTGGGCGAGTTGGTAAACGTTGAACATGATAAAAAAACGCGCACAAAAAGACAAGGACAAACAAGGAAAGAACACAGAATACAGAACACAGCGCGCCTGTCTGTCTTCTGTGTTCCTTCCTCGTTTGTCCTTGTCTTTTTGTGCGCGATTTTTCATCATGTTAAACAAAAGCAGTTGTGTATTTGGTCGTCAAAGAAATGAGAAAGATAACTCGCTGCTATTGAGGTAAGGTGTTCTCTTTAAGAATCGGCAAGTATTAACGCATTTAATTGTTTTAGTGATTAGAGAGTTTTAGTAGATCGTTCCGATACCTCCGATAGCCCCGATAACGATACTATGCATGCACAAGAAAGGCGGTGGCGGAGTATCGGGTATCGTTATCAGAGTCATGGGAACGATCTACTAAAACTCTCTAGTATCGAGTAACGGTATTTTTAGGGTTACGTGTACATGTCTGCTGCTAACCAACTGCGAAGGCGGAGCGGTGCGCCCCCTTTAGGTGTCGCACGAGTACGCTGTTCTTCGTTCCTCTCACAGACGAGGAACGTCGAGAAAACAACATGCTTGCTCCCAGACGCCTCCCAGTCACTAAGACGATTGACGGAGAAGCCTGCTGGGTGTACTGCGATCCGGCCACATACCGGAGTGTCCCGAACTTCGAGCCCCAAGAGGGAGACATCATTCAGGTGAGGAACCTTTCAATGCTCGCAATCCACCATTATCGGAAGAATTGGTGCCACCTGCCGGAGACTTAGCTCGAAGATTTCTTTATCGAAAACTTGAGAAAACAAAGGACGCCATTAAAATAAGCAGCGGAGAATCTCCTTTGTACGAGCTTGGGGGCAAAAGCTAGCAAACAATGAGCTACAATGGGCACATTGCAATGTATCGGGAGCTCAGTCTATGGTCCTCGTGCTCAACATGTCAGTAGGATCGATAGTCGGTGACAGGTTATGAGTTCAGGGGAAGTTCCTCACGCCGCTTTCTACTTTAGAGGACGTCGTTTCCGGACCAGCGTTCAGTCCAGATAAACTTTCTTAAAATAAAACTGACCCCTTCAGTGCACATTTGGTGAAGGATTGGGTTCCCTAAGAGCAGGTACCCATTTTTCAGATGTGTTTTGCAGCGTAGAAAACACTGAGAAACACTTGTTATCTTTATCTGAACGAGATTTAACGCAGCAACGCACAGAAGTGAAGAGACCTATCAATTTAATTTAGTGACCATCAACGTTTTTATTTTGGTATAAAACTCTACGTATGAAAATGTGATATGTCCAGTGAAGAACCCCACTGCCTAAGCGCAGCATACTGGAAGCCGCAAGCCTGAGCGCTTGGTTTGAGGAAGCGCTTTAAAATGCAAAGTTATTTATATTTAGCTTCAGACACTGGATCGTTAGACTTCATTAAAATTGTGTCTGAAGACTCGAATGAATATGCGCCCACTTATCATTGCAGTACAACATCTCACCTGGGATATTACGCATGCATCACGCACTAGTGATCACACGACTGCTCACAGGCACGATGCTTATCCAGATCGAAAAGGGCAGGGGCCGGCTTGAACGAAAGAAACAGGCACTGAATAAAGCCAACAACGGCACTATCTCTCGCTTTGATGGTGCTGCACACAAATTGTGATATCGATGATGCGGTTGGTTTTACCAAAACACCGAAACCAATTGCTTCAAATCAAAACTAGTAAAAACAACAAAACTTACATGAAACATGGAGCCCCTTCTTCTTACCAAAGTAAGAAATGTAAAGTCACTATGTGGGGGCACTAAAGAGCATGATTGTCCAGAAGGAGAAAAACTTGATGTAGAAATCACTATCTATGAATGAACTTGATGTAGAAATCATATAGTCTCTGAATTGCGATAGCATTCGTCATGAGACTCACGACGCAGATCACTGTGATTACGACGACGCAAATTTGGAGTATGCACTTTATTTTATGAGTGGTAACAACGCAGTCATTGACGTCAGCGCGACTGGAGCTCGCCAGCCACCGTGATATTGAGTGATTGCTTCGTCTCTGTGTAATCATTTAATGTTCAAGCTGTTTCCCCACCATCCATGCAGCTTCGTGTGTGTCTTGTTCTGTCCCTGTACAATCGTTTAATGTTCACACTCTTCAACCATTATCATTGACCATGTACCACACTCTCAAGAAAAAAGGGTGTCAAAAGGTGTACCGCTACACCCTTTGTCCCATATAATACACCCCGAAATTTCAATTCGACGTACAGCGCCCTACAGTCGAACGGACGGCCCGAGATTTTACGAGGGGCTTGATAGCCATGTGGTACAACATTTTAAATAGCTAAAGTACGTATCAAAGACCACATAAAGAAAACACCAAATTGTTACGGTAGGGCCAAGAAAACCCCGATTATTTTTCTTGTTGTCAGTAAAACGTACGTTAGCTATTTTAATAAGTTGTACCACACGGCTATCAAGCCCCTCGCAAAATGTCGGGCCAACTGTTTGACTGTAGGGCGCTGTACGTCGAATAGAAATTTTGGGGTGTATTATGTGGGACAAAGGGTGTAACAGTACACCTTTTGACACCCTTTTTTCTTGAGAGTGCAACTAGCTCAACTTAAACCGATAATTGCTTCGTAGCTTGGGCGCAAATGTCAATGTGTGCGTCCTGCTGCCGCTCCGTGTAATGCGCGGCGTGGGTTTATCTGCTTGCTAAAACGATGTCGAGGACGATATCAAAGACGATCTCTAGGACGACTTCTAGAATGATCTCAAGGCCGACCTTGATGACCTTTAGGACAACCTCTAGAGGACCTATAAGACGGCGTTTCGCATGACGTTGAGAACGGCGTCAAAGACGACGTCTAGAACGACCTCTAGGACTACCTGTAGGGCGATCTCAAGGACGAGCTCTAAGACAACCTCAAGAACGACGTCTAGGTCAACGTCCCAGAGAACGACGTTAAGGGCGACGTCTAGGACGACTTCTAGGACTACCTCTAGGACGACCTCAAAGACGACATCTAGAACGACGTTCATAACGACCTCAAGGACATCAGCTTCTATGAAAAGGGTGCGAATGTGAAGGAGAGCGTACTGCCGCTTCGCATACGCGCACCACCTGCGTATGCGCTGCGCATATCACGGAGCATTCGAGGACAGATCCCGTATTGCGAAAATCGGGTGAAACAGCTAAAGAATGCTGTCGCATTAAAAGAGAATAATTATCAATTGCATTCATTTGCTCCTTTATATAAAGCTCCCCTATTGAAACTGGACGATTATTTTTTACTTGTATTTGGCCAGAAAATGTCTGCGCGAACACTCCTGACTTGCTTTGGGCCAGTTGCGTCCCATCTGTTGGGTATCGCCCATCCCATTTAACCACCAAACTCCGGCTCTGAGACGGGCGTTGAGTATCAGTTCGGTGCTTTCGCATGGTGTTTTTTAAAGCGGAAACCCTTCACAGCCCTCTTTTGCTCTTGTTGGTCTAACCAAAAAAAAAGGCACAATGTCATGTGACGTCATGGTGTCACGTGACATTGATTTCCCAGCCAAATATGAGGAAATTGACATCAGCATTTTAAGTCAAGGTGTCGCATGGTGCCCTGGCATCACGTGACGTCAGTGACGTCAATTTTTACTTTAAATCTGACGGGAAAATTACGACGACCTCACGTGACACCATGGCGTGACGCCGGGGTGTCGCACAACGTCGCAATTTCCACTCTAAATTTAGCGGGGAAGTAAATCAGTCCAACTTCGATGGAAAGCGATGGTCGTCAAAGCAGCCTTCAAGTGCTACCGCACCTTTGTTGCCTTTGACAGAAAGTCTAAAAACCGCAGTGACGCCGCTCGTAGGTCATACAAAAGACCCACGGATTTCTCCGCAGACACTTATGAAAGAGTTATCTGCGGATATGCCTCAAGCATGTTCCAAAAATGTTTGCTTGATACATCTGGGTATGCTTCGAACATGTCTGCAGGCATTTTTTAGAGCGCAGCTCTTAGGCGTCCGTTTCCGGCTTGAGCGGCGTCGGCGTAACCGCGCGTTGCATTATAGGACGTCACAATTTCCCCGCTGAATTTTTCGGGGAAACTGAATTGGTGTTGAGGTCACGTGACGTCAATTTCCTCGTTAAATTTAGCTGGGAAACTTAACCCGCTAAATTTAGTGGAAACATTTAGCCGGAAAATTTTCACTATATTTCCCGCTAAAATTAGAGGGAAATTTAGAAACAAATTCTGGCTAAACGGGATGGGAGGAGGCGAGCAAGATGGGAAAGTACAGACGGGGAGGAGGGCCATACCTTTCCCTCCGTACCCTTCCCTCCTCCTCTTCAAGAGCTGCGCTCTAATTTCGCATTACAGAGAATTGTAAACGTATTTCATTTTGTGTACGACCGATGGAACAGGACCATCGTACAAGAAATAAACGAGTCTCAGACAGTGTCTATGAGAATCCCGTCACATCGGTCATAAAAAAAACTGTTCGCAGACACGCTCCAAGCGTACCTATGCACTATGGACACATGTATCGAAAGCGCTTGAGATGTGTCCGCAGATGATTCTGGCATCATGTCTGCGGAGAGCTTCGCGGATATTTGTATGATTTGCTATCGGTGTATTGCGGTTTAACACTGCGACCGCGAATTAATTACTGACTGAAGTCCGACCCTAAGACGAGCTTTAGGATCTCGTCTGGTATACAATCGGCTACTTTGGCAGACTGTAAAATGTTTTTTTGCAGTGTCATTCGGTGATCTTAAATGCAGGTCACGTTCCCAAGATCGGGGACGAGCTGGGTCCAGCAGATCGTACAGCTCATTTTATACCAGGGACAGTCGGCGAGGTCGTACGCCGAGTTCCTGGAGAGAGCACCTGTCATCGAACTGCATGGTCTGAAGACGACGCAGCTGCGGTCCAGGCTTCTACGAACCCACTTTCCGATGAGTAAGATTCGTGTAAGCCCAAGGGCCAAATACATCTACGTCGCCCGGAACCCTTGGGATTGCTGCGTGTCATGCTTCCACATGATCAGGGAGCATCCCGCCTTCCAGTTCCAGGACGGGACCTTCGACGAGTTTCTGGACGCGTTCCTAGGCGGACAGTTCGGGTCTGGCGATTACTTTGATCACGTGATCTCCGGTTACGGCCACAGAAAGGATCCGAATGTCTTCTTTGTGACGTACGAAGAACTCCAGAGGGACAAGGCGGCCGTCGTCCTGAAGCTGGCATATTTCTTGGGACAGGACCACGGCAAGAGGCTCGAACGCGACGCGTCGGCTTTCGAGGAGGTTCTCTACAAGAGTACGACTGGATTCATGAGTAGCTTTATGAAAACAAATCCCGCGGATATCCGCAAGCGGAGTGCGCAAGATCCGACTGCTCTGCAGGCTTTCTTGGTGCCTGGTGTTGGAAAAGCCAGCGAAGAATCGATTATAAATATGCTTCGCAAGGGTACTGTTGGTGACTGGAGAGAGCATTTTTCGACCGTTGATGTCGAGAAAATGCAGGCTAAAATCGATGAAAAAGCAGCAGGTTCGGACATTGTGCATATATGGCAACATGATTGCGAGCTGATCTAAGTCTGAAGTATTAAGATCCCACTTAACCAACCGCGGTGTGTGCCTTGGTTTTGTTTCTTGGCGTATAAAAACTTACTATGCCATTCAAAATTTACCACAGGCGTATATAACTTGGCATAACGAGCCATTAGTCTCAAATTTTAAAATCAGCAGTGTAGATATTTCCTTGTGCTCATGGTCTTTAATGGTCTATGAGGCGATTCAGTAGCTAAAGGCCATGCCATCTCCGCAGTCCCAAGTGTGGCCTGAAGAATGAGTATGACAATGAAGCTTCCGCCTGCTTTGCGTTTTTTGATTGCAATTTACAGTATCTTAAATAATAAAAAAGTTAGTACTGATTAAATAGCTAAGGTCCTTGGCCCATCTCCTCTATAAGTGTCATCAACTCGTGAAATTAACAACATCAACAAATACAAACATATTGTTCTTCTTAGGGTGATGCCAGGATTTGCTGTATTTAGAACCGACAATACACGACAACAATAATTAAGAAACAAAACAAAAAACAATAAAATGGCGTAAAATCTCCCCTTAACGCTAGTATTGCTCTAAACGGGAGACTATTTCATATGCTTTAGAGCACTTTTGTACTCTAAAAAGCAGTGTGTTGCAAGTCGGCAGCCACTAGACGTCATCTCCCGAGCACTCGCTCCGTAGCTGTCTATCCGTAGGTCTATCTCAATTGCGACCTCCCCACTGCTTTGCGGCGGCCATTTTTAATACACTTTTTGCTGGATGTATTTCGGTGGTTTTCACCGTTATTACGATACGGCGGTATGTTTAAAGCACTGCTGTGCTTCAAAAAATCAGGACAACCACTAAAAAAGAGCAGCAATTCCCGATATGCATCACTTGAAATAAATCTATTTTTTCTAAAGCAGTCTTGATTTTTTTTTCAGGAAATAAGTGAAAACACGGCATAATGCAATTTAGAAGCGAAACGCTTATTGCCATAAAGGTAGCAAACGGACCTCACCCACCTTGTGGTTGTCTATTATGCCATAACTTGAATTTTGCTGGCGTTACACATCCATTCTACATTAAAACTAATCGAGACCGCAGAGGCCGCGACTGTTAGCGTTTGGAGCTTGCGCTAACAAAATAAAACTGAATAGTAACTGTAGACGAAAAATCATCTCCACCCAAAGATTTCACATGCCTGGCATGGTTGCTTCTTTTTTAAAGATGCGACTTGTTACGGCGCGTCAGGCATGGTCTTTCCGTAGATCGTGTCTTCTTTGTTAGCTGCACTCTCAGAAAAAAAGTGTATTATTACACCCCTTGTCCCATATAATACACCCCAAAACTTCAATTCGACGTACAGCGCCCCATAATCGAACAGGCGGCCCCAAAGTTTAGGAGGGGCTTGATAGCCGTGTGGTACAACTTATTGAGATAGCTATATGTACGTATTATTGACTACAAAAAAGATTATCTGAGTTTTCTTGGCCGTACTGCAAACGCTCCGTGTTTTCTTTCTTTGGTCTTTGATAGGTACTTTAGCAATTTAATAAGTTGCACCACACGGCTATCAAGGCCCTCGAAAAAATTTGGAGCCGTCTGTTCGACTATAGGGCGCTGTACGTCGAAATGAAGTTTTGGGGTGTATTATATGGGACAAAAAGGTTGTAAGGTGATACCCTTTTTTTTTAGAGTGTGGCTTCTTCCCGCAGTTCATCTGTACCCTGTCGCACAGGCTGCCAACCAGAATGAAACGACGTTTAGATAACTATCGCTCCCCGAAAAAGAATATTTAGCTCTTCTTACTTTATTGTCGATTAACCGTTATGCACAAGCCTGAGCACTAGCAAGCTCAGTTTTCCATTCACACATTTGATGCTGTCCCGCGGTACTCCACTGAGCCGATGATCCCACGAAATCTCGTATTCTTTGTGACTGAACTAGATTTTCACTCGTTTCCAAGAGCAACCGGAGTGTTCGAGTAGTGGCATCGCTGTTTTTCCCTCGACCGCAGTGGGAGCACCGCGTGAACGCAGTGGGTTCACCCGTTCACGAAAATGAAGAAGCAAACAACAGCGAAGCATACAACAAAGCGATTTCAATGTGATAAGACGACTGGAGGAACTGCTTTTCTGCGCTTGCTGACAAACGAAGGCATCATAAACAACACAACTTGTGAAGTATACAGGCAGGCAGGAGAACCCAAGCTGATTCCGTGGCTTCCCAAAACGATACCACAGCCCGAAGCAGACCGCGGGTGGGAGCTGTGCTCGCAGGACCAGTCAGCTGCATCCCTCTTGCCTCTACCTTATCTTATCAAAGGTTCTAAAACAGATCTATAGAGATCTGTTTTATTAATTTCGTTTTATTTCATATATATTAACGCCCTCACTCTTAATGTTTCCTCGTCTATTTGTTTACTTTCAGACGACTGTGTGATTTACCGTATATGTTTCAGTCTGACATTAATGCTATCTACCAGTGCTTTGACGTATAGTCTGTGATTTTTAATACTAACAAATGTAGGTTCATGCGTGTATCTCGCCAGTCACATGAAACACGCAACTACTTTCTTAATCAGGCTCAGCTTGACACGGTATCTTCTTACAAAACTTTAGGTGTACATATATCTTCTAAACTCTCATGGAAAACACGTGTTCAGCATATCACCTGTAATGCTAAACGTATGTTATGCTATCTCAGGCGTAACTTTTCATTAGCACCTGTTTCTCTCAAACTATTGTTTTTTATATAAAACTCTAGCTCGACCGAAGTTAGAATATGCAGCCTCTGTCTGGGATCCCGGACAAGCCACTCTCATCACCGTGTTGGAGGCCATTCAAAAAATATCCGCTCGTTTTATTCGTTTTAATTATCATTAAATATCTAGCGTCACTTCTACGAAAACCTTGTCATTGCCGCCCCTGTTCCTGGGACGTAAGCTTTGATGCCTCTCTTTATTTCGCAAACTTTATTTTTGTAAATCTGTGCTTCGCGACAAATTAATCACTCGTTTCTTTTATATTTCTGCTAGTCATGATCATGAGCACAAAGTTCAGGCTATCACATGCCCATTCCATTCTTTTCCTTCCTCGCACATCCTTCGAACCACTTTCCCAAACCAATTGCACCCATCACAGACACTGTACTTTCGACGACTGCTCTAACCACTCATTTTTCTATTAAGTGGGAATAACTGTGCATATTTTAATCCCAACTTTGCTCTCCCCCTCTGTAATGCTACGGGCTTTGAAGGTAAACAAAATAAAAATTAAGGACATTTACAATTCTCTGTAATGCCGAATTAGAGCGCAGCTCGTGAGCAGTAGGTATGGAGGAGAGGGTCACGTGGAACGTCACGTGTGACGTCACGAGGGTAAAAATTTTCCGATGGCGGGACATTTTTTTGTTAAAGTTAGGTGGGAAATTTTCCCGCTAAATTTAGCGGAACAATTTACCCGCTAAATTTAGGGGGGAAAGTTTTCCGCTAAATTTAGCACAAAAAGTTTTACGCTAAGATATTTCCCGGCAAATTTATCGGGAAATGTTTGCCCTCGTGGCGTCACACGTGACGTCACGCGTAACATCATTATAGGATACATCCCATAATGCAAAGTGCGGTTATGCCGACGGCGATGCCGCTCACGCCGGAAGCTGGCCCCTAAGAGCTGCGCTCTAAAATAAATTTAAAAAAAAATTTACCGGGCTCTCCTTCGCGTGGGTATGGCCGGGAGCGTGATGACGTGTCGAAATTGAGGTGCATGACTGTTCCAACGAAGACATAGCTTCCACCGCAGTCCCGGCTTAGAGGTGAACGGAGTACACAAGTAGCATGTCTGCGGCAATACTTCCGGAATGCGCAGTTCGCTTGATGACATTGGTCTATCGGAACATTTGCAACAGGGCCCGAAGATCCGAAATATGTTGTATCCGTTTGTCGAGTGGGATTTATGGCTTTCGGATCCGCCCGGGTTCTTCCTTCGCCGAATCGGAGGCGCCTCTGTCGCCAGCCTGGTGACAGGAGCATAGCAGGATGCCTGGAACACGTCTCCGACTGGTGCGTCCACGGCGTCCTCATCTGTGATAATAGGGAGTTTTCGTAGATAGTTTCCGCTGTCCCGCAACGCTTTCCGCAACCAGCTACGCTAGCCGGAACTCTACAGTCAAGGCCATCAGCGCGCAGGCGCATTAGTGGCTATTTCGTTGCGGAAGGCATAGCGGAAGGCGAAACGCGATCTACGAAAACTCCCTAATAGGGAGTTTTCGTAGAGCGCGTTTCCCCCTCCGCTAAGCCCTCCGCAACGAAGCAGCCGCTACTGCGCCGGCGCGCCGATGGCCTTGACTGTAGAGTTCCGGCTAGCGTAGCTGGTTGCGGAGGGCGTTGCGGGACAGCGAAAACGATCTACGAAAACTCCCTAATAGGGAATTGTAGCAGACCGTTTCCGCAGCCCGCTAAGCACAGAGCTCTGCAATCCGCCACGAGACCTTGAACTATGCAGACAAGGCTGGCGGTGCGCATGCGCAGCTGCGGCGTTTTCTTCGGGGATACCGTAGCGGAGGAGAAAAACGATCTACTACAACTCCCCGATATAGTAAGGGTGAATGGGAACCATGTTGAAGATACCTGAGAATGGGGCAGAAAGGTACACATAAGTCGAAGGAACAGGAAAGGACGTCGGGATCGCGACATCTAACAGCAGATGAAACGGCGGCTCCTCTGTTGTAAGGTTGGTTGCCACACCGCGGACTACTTTGGATGGGTGGTCGGCGCAGGAAGCTGAACACGCCACTCGAACACGCCTTCGGGGCACCTAATGGATGCGATAAACGGGGATACAATTCTCGTTTATCTCACTGTCACCTAGTTTGAGGGGAGCTACGACAAGTACCGAGCTGAAAAAACGTGTTTGTGTCGCAGAAGAAAGTAATTCGGGCAGTAACGAATGTGTCGCGCTGCGCACGTACTGAACCGCTTCTTCTGTTTTTTACATAAAGTGGTGAAAGTTAAGGAATATTTCGAATATAAGCTTGCGACAATGTACGCGGTATATTTTAATAAAAGATATAGCTTTATTTTACCATATAAATATGGCGGCAGCCGAGGAAGAAAAGCTGGGCAAGAAGCTTGG